AAGTGGTAGAGTGCTAGCCTTGAGCTGAAGAGCTGAGGGACAGCGCCCAGGCCCAGAGTTCAGGCCCCACGACCGGACCAAAAATAAATAAATAAATAAATAAAAAAGAAAAGAGAAATGTTCCATCTAATGGATGGAGGCCAGGGATGTGGCTAAAAGTTCTACAGAATTATATAGCCCCAAAATACTAATAGTGTGGAGATTGAGAAACCCGGGGTCTAGTTTGTACTGTCTTTTTATTGCATGGAAGAATCTGGGGCCTTAGAAGTCTCTCAGGAGTTGGTGTCTGAGGCTGAGTGCCTCCTCTGTAAATGTTTTTTGCCTCAGTCTATTAACTGGACCTGGAACATTTCCTATACCTTCAGTTTAGTGGCCAGCAGTCTACTAAACAGGATGATATGTTTTCTTTCTGTTGTTTCCAAGAGACAGGCTCAGTTGGCCTGCAGTTCTTCCAGAAGAAAACCTGGTGACAATTTTCTAATCTGTTGCTGGCATCTTTCACTCCCTAATCTGTGTTTACTCGGCAGTGAAAATCGACTCTCTGGTGCCAGGCTCTGTTCCTCCTTAGTACTTTGGCACCATTGGTAGAGAACCCCTCCCTAGTCTCTTCACAGTGCCACCCTACACATTTATTTCATTGCACAGCTGTTCTCCAGAAGAAGTCTCTTGAGCATAGACTGTACAGGATGCTGCTGGAGCCAGGGGCTGGATTCTCAATATTTGAGTTACCAGTTGTAGATCCAGTACTAAGAAAGCATCTGGTTATTCTTGAACTGTTTCCCTGTCTGTAATTCTCACACCCTTTCCAGAATAGGCTCCTAGAAAATAGTTTATTTGTTCAATTTATTTTTTTTTCCTCTTAGCAACAAGCATTTCTTTCATCATATATAAAGAAAACTCATGTACCTCCTTTTTTGGGTTATATGCATTTCTAATAAAAGTAGAGGAAATGGTGAGGAATTAAAGCTATTTTAGAGGTTAATAGTCAATGGGAGATGTCAGTCACCTAAATAATAGGTGCGTAAGTATGGAAAACAATTCAGGACTAGGAAAGTGGTTCAGTGGTAGAGTGCTTGCCTTGTATGCATGAGGCCGTAGGTTCAATTCCTTAGCACCACATAAGCAGAAAAGGCCAGAAGTGGCACTGTGACTCAAGTGATAGAGTGCTAGCCTTGAGCTGAAGAGCTGAGGGACAGTGCCCAGGCCCAGTGCCCAGGCCCAGAGTTCAGAAAGAAAAGAAAACAATTCAGAAGCTAATACCATAGACCCTGGATCATAATGAAGACATTCTTTCAGGTAACTAAGTTGTGGACCTTGTAACTAAAAACTGATTTGCATTATTAAAGAGACCTCAAAAACAAAACACAAAAGTTCCTTTTAAGAGAACAAGAGAAAGCTGGGCCTGTAATCCTACCTACTCTGGAGGAGGCTAAGATCTGAAGATTGTGATTCAAAGCCAGCCCAAGCAGGAGACTCTTATCTCCAATAAACTACTCAGAAAAGGCTGGAAATAGTGCTTTGGCTTAAGTGGTAGAGAGCTAGCCTGAAGCCAAAGAAGCTCAAGGACAGCACCCAAGCCCTGAGCTCAAGCCCAGGACTTGCACATGAGTGTACACATAAACACAGAGAAAACCTGGGAAACTTACTCTGTTATGAAATGAATAATTACCTCATCTAACTATTAAAGGCAGCAGGACCTCAATAGGGATTAGAGGTCAGTGGGCACATGGGTTATGTCCCCAGATGCTGCTGTCTTTGGCTTTTAAACAGATAACTGTTTTGGAACGGTCTTTGAATTTGCAAGATTTGAACACTTTTAGGGTGCTGGCCTATCTAGAATAGAGTTGTTGTTTTTTTAACTTTTAAGTATTATCTGCCTAAGGCACTTTTTGGGTTTTTCTTTTTTGTTTTCATTTTCATTTTTGTTTTCATTTTCATTTTTGTTTTCTTTTGTGGGGGTGGGGTGGGGAAAGTAGATTTAGGGCCTGGGTGCTGTCCCTGAGCTTTTTCACTCAAGACTAGCAGCTCTCTACCATTTTGAGCCACAGCACCACTTCAGGTTTTCTGGTGATTAAGTGGAGACTAAAGGCTCATATGGAGCCAGGCACCGGTGGCTCACACCTGTAATCCTAGCTACTCAGGAGGCTGAGATCTGAGGATCACAGGTCAAAGCCAGCCTGGATAGGAAAGTCCACTCTTATCTCCAATAAACCACTAGAAAACTGGAAGTGGCGCTGTGGCTCAAGCGATAGAGCGCTTGCCTTGAGCTGAAGAGCTGAGGAGCAGCGCCCAAGCCCAGAGTTCAAGCCCCACAACCAACCAAAAAAAGAAAAAAAAAAAAGGCTCATGGAGTTTCCTGTCCTGGCTGGCCTTGATTCTTCATCCCCAGAGCTCAGCTTCCTGAGTAGCTAGGATTACAGGTGTGAGTCACTGGCACCCAGCCTAAGGCACTTTTCATACATTTTTTCTTAACCATAATATATCATAGGTATACATATAATACATAGCTTATACTCTGATCTTTGGAAGGGGAACAGGTGACTGTAACTAAGTATTGAGGGCCTTTTAGCCCCCTACAAACTAGTTTTCACCATTAGGAAGGCAATGAATACCGCTTATGTTGAAAATGCATAACATAGAAGTAACATCACTATGCAGATAAAATTATTTATACCTTTTCCTACAAATTAAAACTGAGACAGTAACAGTTAACTAATTTTGACAAATGTCTACTGCTACTATGACTTGGTATAATTGGGTAAGAGTTAAAAGAATACTTTTCATTGCTTATATGGAAGACATTTTCTTAACTGAACAATCTGTCATTTGAGAAGAAAATAAGGGGACCCACTAGGAGTAGCACAGCAATAATTAAGAGTTTTGTAAAAGATATATATTGTTCATATATTGCCTTTGCAGTGATAGGCAGAGAGGAGAGATTAGGTAAGAATTCAGCTATCAGATTGTCCATTGTTTCAAGACTAATAATTGCTAATAAATTCAATTTCTCAAAGGAGTTGCTTTGTAGCTGAGAACACCATTTAGGTTATACAGCATATAAGAATGTTCTATTCTCCATGAAGGATTGGCTCTGTCTGATGAGAAGGTTGGTTGTGTATGAAATGCACCTCGGAAGGAGGAGGAGGAGAAAATGACATGTTCATGTAAATGAAATACAACTGCAAATTAAAGTGTCACCCTGTTAAAAAAAATCCATTTTTTTATTTAATTGGTTACCAAGGAAAAATGTCATACAGAAGTGCATATCTCAGGGAAAGTTAAACTGAAATATTACAAGTGAATCTAGATACAAGGAAGTTCCTGGAAGAGATTATAAAAGATTGCCTTAATAAATATATTCTGATGCTGCAAAGCTAGGCTCATATATATCTGTTGTGTTACATGCCAGGGTTCCAAAAGAGATGAGCAAATATTACCTTATTTGTTCTTTACATCCTTTATCCAAAATCAGCTAGATACTAGCTGTTCCTTTGGAGAAAACCTCCTTTTGAGATGTTTTATAGAAAGAAGGTCATGTACAAAGGAAGGATAAAATAGGAAGGGTTGGTTATTAAGATTATATTTACATGTAGAATTATTTCTAGTGAAACATTTCTGATTTCTTTTTGAGATGAGGACTTGCCAAATGTGACTCCTCAGATTGTTGTTTGGTTTTTTTTGGGGGGGGCGGGGGGGTGTCTGGTCGTGGGCCTGAATTCTGGGCCTGGGCACTATCCCTCAGCTCTTCAGCTCAAGGCTAGCGCTCTACCACTTGAGCCACAGCGCCACTTCCGTCTTTTTTTTTTCTGCTTATGTGGTGCTGAGGAATCAAACCTAGGGCCTCATGCATGCAAGGCAAGCGCTCTACCACTGAGCCAACTTCCCAGCCCCTCAGTTTTCTTTAACCTTAGTATGGTTCTTTCTCTTCTTTGCTACTAGTCTCAGTGTTGTTTTGTATTCTACATTGAAAACATGCAGATACATGCTGTAATGTGCTCTTTGTCTTCTTCCCCTCAGGGGCAGTGATTGGTGATGGACAGTCTGCCGTAGCCAGTAACATTGCCAATACGACCTACCGGCTCCAGTGGTGGGACTTCACTAAGTTTGATCTTCCAGAAATCAGTAATGGTAAGCCAACATAAAAAAGGAATGTTTGTGGAGAGGTTGTTAGTGAAATGAGCTCCCTTCCCATAGCTTAGTCCACTCCTTCCCATCTCCACAGCTTAGCATGCTGCTCCCTTCCTAGGCAACACTAGGCCCATGTAGTAAAGGCAGTAAATAATCAACTTCCAACCCCCTTTGCCTTGGAATGGCATTTTTCCAGGCCAGCTACCACCATATAAGGCAACAAGAGCCCCTTAGAGCGACCTTCAGGTCTGGGCACCTACAGGACCCCTTATCTACTATTTGGATAGCAGCCATAAATCCTAGTCTATACCATGATGAAGCCCCGGGCCCACATGTCCACACCAGCGTCTCTGCCTCCTAGCCCCTTCTAGCTCCTCCTAAGCCTCCTAGGTTATATAGGTCACCTCAGACAATAACTGGTGTTTCTTCTCACTTCTCCCTTGTGAGAAGAGGTCTGACTGGCCCCTTTCCTAGCAATAAACCTTTCTTTGTTCTTTGTACCTGGATGTCTGCGTGGTTATCTGGAAAAGTCTAATAATCTTTCAGAGGTATATTGCTGATGATCCAGAAATAAAAAATTCAGGTAGCACTGGAGTTTTTTTTTTGTTTTAAATCATCTTGTTGAGTAGTTGATGACCATGAACGGGTCCTAATAGCTCTTCCATAGCTCCCAGTTAAGAAATGAATGCCAGGAGGCTGAGGTCTCAGGAGGCTGAAATGTAAAGGATCATGATTCAAAGTGAGCCTAGGCAGAAAAGTTTGAGACTCCATCTCCACCTATTCAGCAAAATGTGGGATTGAGCTGGGCACTGGTGGGTCATACCTGTAATCCTACTCAGGAGGCTGAGATCTGAGGATCTCAGTTCTAAGCTAGTCCTGACAGTAAAGTCTAAGAGACTCTTACCTTATCTCAAAGTGATAAGAGTGCTAGCTTCCAGGGAAAAAGCTCAGGGACAACATCCAAGCCCTAAATTCAAGCCCCACAACTGACAAAAAAAAAAAAATTTGGACTGGCAGTATGGCACAAGTAGCAGAGTGCCAGCTGTGAGCAAGAAAGCCAAGTGAGAGCACAAGCCCTGGGGTCAAGCCTTGGTATTGGAACAAAAAGAAAAAAGAGAAATTTGAATAGATCATTCAGGGCATTTACCTTGAACATTTGCCCAGAGGAATTTGTCTACCAAGTAATTCATGGACTCAATGCCTGAAATTTAGATGGATCTGAGAGGAAAATGACGAGAAAAAGAAGGGAGTGTAAGAACTGAGAGCTCTATCTTACCTTGAAAGACTGTACTGATATTAAGCTCCTTGATAAATCCAGAACTGAATGGGTATGGGATAGTATGGATATGGTGTGTGTGTGTGTGTGTGTTGGTGAGTGTGTGTGTGTGTGTGTGTGTGTGTGTGTGTGTGTGTGGTCTGTCATGGGCTTTAGCTCAAGGCCTGGGATAGTATGGATATGGTTGAGACCTGGTGTGGGGGTGTGTTTTGTCTGTCATGGGCTTTAGCTCAAAGCCTGGGCTCTGTCCATGAGCTTTCTTGCTTGTCTAGTGTTCTACTACTTTGAGCCACAGCTCCACTTCTGTTTTTTTGGTGGTTAATTATAGATAAAAATCTCAGGGACTTTTCCTGCCAGGGCTGGCTTAAAATCTCAATCCTCAAAAATCTCAGCCTCCTGCGTGGCTAGGATTACAGGCCTGAGCCACTGGCACCTAACTATCTATTTTTTTATTATTATGATTAAGTAGTTATACAAAGAGATTACAAATCCATAAATCAGATTATGAGTACAATTCTTCTTGATAATGTCACCCCTTCCATTATCCTTCCCAATCTTTCACCCTCCCATCCCTACATAGTTACATAGTTCCAATTTTTACATAATGTACATTAAGTATAGAGACTGCATTTGCTCACCCTTCCTTCTTCCATTATTGAACCCCCTCTCCCCCAAAATATATTTTTACTTCTGGTATTCATTTTGGTAAAAACAGTTTGGTAAAAACACTGCTTTACTGTTTGTGTGTAAATGTATTAACCCCTGAATATGTTATCATTCATGTTTGTATTTTACATCTAGCTTCCACATATGAGAGAAAACATACGCTGTTTGTCTTTCTCACTTAACACAATTTTTCTAGGTCCATCCATTTCCCCACAAATGACATATTATTCTAGTAGACCAGTAAAATTCCATTGTACATATGTATCACCTTTTCTTGATCCACTCATCCATTGTAGGATATCTGGGCTGTTTCCATAACTTGGCTATTGTGAATAGTGTGACAATGAATATGGACATGCAGTGTCTTTACTATATCCTGACTTGCAATGCCCAAGAGTTGTACTGTTGTATCATAAGATAATTCTATGTTTAGTTTTTGGTTTTTGTTTTTTATTTTGGCAGTCATGGGGCCTGAACTCTGGGCCTGGGCACTGTCCTTCATCTCTTCAGCTCCAGGCAAGCACTCTACCACTTGAGCCACAGCACCACTTCCAGCTTTTTCTGCGTATGTGGTGCTGAGGAATCGAACCCAGGGCCTCATGCATGCAAGGCAAGCACTCTACCACTGAGCCACCTTCCCAGCCCCTATGTTTAGTTTTTTTTTAAGGACTCTCCAAACTGCCTTCTAGAGTGGTTGTACTAGTTTACATTATAGCCAGCACTGTAATAAGGTTCCTTCCTTTCCTCCTCCATCCCTGCCAGCTCTGCCAGCTTTTGTTATTCCCGTTCTTTAAGCTGCCCAATCTTATTGGGATGAGATAGAAATCTCAGTGCTGTTTTGATTTGCATTTCCTTTATGGGAAGGGCCTTCCTCCTTTTTTGTCTCAGTTTTACTTTTTTCTACTTTCGTTTTGTTTTGTTATGCTGCTGGTCCTAGGGCTTGAACTGGGGCCTAGTTGCTATCACTGAGCTTTTTTGCTTAAGGTTAGTGTACCACAACTTGAGCCACAGCTCCCCTTCCAGCTTTTTTTTTTTTTTTTGGTAGTTAATTGGAGATAAAAGTGTCACTGTCTTTCCAGCCTCATGAGTACCTAGGATTACAGGTGTGAGCCACTAACATCCAGATCTACCTGCCTGCCTGCCTGCCTGCCTGCCTGCCTGCTTTCCTTCCTTCCCATATGCCAGTCTTGGTATTCTTACCAGGCAAGGGAAATTAAGTTAATATTTTGTATCTGTTCTTAATGAAACCTCAATAACAGTAAGTGCTTCTAAGATACATGTCCAGGCATCTATCCTTTAACTCTACAAGGAATCCATACCATCCTGTCTCTTTTGAAGATCCAAGTTTGTTTATTCATTTCTAGGTTTCTGGCCCATGTTTATTTAATTAATAATAAAATGACCATTGTTTATTTTGTCAGGTCTTTAAAAATTATAATCTGAATATATAATTCAAATTCTATAACTACTCACTGCTCAAAAACCTTTCATATAAAAGGATATAAAAAGTCTCCCCAGCCAGGCACTGGTGTGGCTTATACCTATAATCCTGGCACTCAAGAGGCTGAGATCTCAGGGCTGGGAAGGTGGCTCAGTGGTAGAGCACTTGCCTTGCATGCCTGAGGCCCTGGATTCGATTCCTCAGCACCACATAAGCAAAAAGAAGAAAGCCGGAAGTGGCACTGTGGCTCAAGTGGTAGAGCGCTAGCCTTGAGCTGAAGAGCTGAGGGACAGCGCCCAGGCCCAGAGTTCAGGCCCCATGACCGGACCCAAAAAAAAAAAAGAGGCTGAGATCTGAGGATGCCAATTCAAAGCCAGCCCAGGCAGTAAAGTCTGTGACTCTTATCTCTAACTAACCACTAGAAAACTGGAAGTTGCACTAGAGTGAGTGTTAGCCTTGAGCAAAGAGCTCAGGGACAGAACCCAGGCATTGAGTTCAAGCTCCACAACTGACAAAAAAAAAGTCTCTCAACTCAACTTTCTACTACCTACCACTTCTTGACATAAGGAACCTTGATTAGAAGTTTCTTGTGTACCTTTTTAAGAATATTGTATGTCATCAGGAACAATATCTATAATTCTAGCTACTCAGAAGGCTAAGATCTAAGAATTGTGATATGAAGCCAGCCTGGGGAAGAAAGTTCATGAGACTCTCATTTCCAATTAACTACCAAAAACCTGGAAGTGGAGGTGTGGCTCAAGTGGTAGAGCATTAGCCTTAAGCAGAACAGATCAGGGACAAGAGCCTAAGCCATAGGAGGAGCATGCGAGCACATACACACACACACAGAGCAAAGTCATATTTTTTTTTCTCTAATCAAATGGCAGCTTGTTATACATTCTTTTGTATTTTTCTTTCTAAAGTGTATCTCAGTGATCTTTCTATATCAATATGTAAGATTTACTTTTTTATGGCTATTTACTATTTTACTTTTTATATGTGCTAGAATTTTTTGTGTGTGCTAGAATTTTTATTACCAGTGTCTTATTGAAAGATTTCTAAGTTTTTTATTTTTTTCTGTACAAACCGCTGCAATTGCCACTTTGCATGTGCAAGTATGTTGATAATACAAATATCTTGAAATAGAATTACAGAGAGGAAGAGTATAATTTTGGTAGCTATTAGCATATTACCCTCAGTACAGACTGTGCCAGTTTATATTTCCCCCTAGTTCACCAGAGTGCCTGACAGAATATGTTATCAGATTTTTAGATATTTGCAAGTCTGATATGATAAAAAGTAGTCCATGGTAGTAGTAAGTTTGTTTCTCAAGTTTCAGAGGCAGTTGTGCCTCTTCGTGTGCTTTGCCATTTGTGTTACCTTCTTTGGCCAGGTCCATGTGCATTTCCTCATCGTTTCTTGTGTTACTGATCTTTTACTTAATAATTCTACAGAAACTCTTTATAAATTGGAAATTAACTTTTGATAGGAATTTCCTATCTTTTGGCTTTGATGAAAGGTTATTTTTGTCATAAGTCAGAATTATACAACTTTTTTTTTTTTTTTTTTTTTTTGCCAATTGTGGGGCCTGAACTCTGGGCCTAGGCGCTGTCCCTC